AAGTATGTAAATGTGGCAGACATTACAGCTGCAGGAGTACTAAAGAATAATACTGTTGACTGCTGAATCGTTGCACAGATTAGCATTGAGGTTCCATCCCTGATTGGGATCATTGTTTCAGTAAATTAAAAGCGAGGGAGAACGGGTCCATCAAAATATGGACCAGGTCCATGGACCCCCCCAGTTTTACTACCCCTAAAAATACTGTAGTAAACAATGAAATAAAAATAAAATAAGTAAATTGAAAAAAAATTATTCTCAGTGACATTTCAATTTAATATTTAATTAATTTTTAACTTTGTAATCTTTCATAAAGCCTCATTTTAACAGCATTTCTTTAGCCAGTGTAACTATGACAAACAGGGGATATTTAATTGTATATAATCTCGGAAACAATTACACGTACAGGAAAGATCCAAGTACATTGCAAGAACCTGCATTAGCCTTATAAAGGGTGGAGGTGGTAGAGGGAATCTTAAAGGAAATCTTAGTATAACAGACTCTTAATCTCTATGTTCTTATAAAAATATGAGGGTATTTACTGTACCTGTAACAATTTAGTTATAGACTGCAACATTTACCCAACATGAAAACTAACATAATCAGGGCTTAAATGAACTGCAACTTTTACAACTGACACTGTCACTGTTTTGTACTCTCCCTACATGTTGTTTGTGTCCTGATTAGTTCTGAAGTTGAATAGGCAAATCATTAGTTATGAAATTTATTGGAGGTGTATATTTACTATTTTATGACATTTGCATCTCTTCATCCTTAGTGCCTTCAACTAATTTTGACCATAAGAATCCAGTCTCAATAGATTGTTTGCAACTGACGTCATCATGGCCACATTGGATGACCATGAACAGAAGAATTCCAATAAGCGATATTGTTCCTGTCACCCAACATGGCCACTAGAGAAATATTTGCAAACCACCAATTACTTCCTTCTGAGAGGTGCAATATTTATCATTTCTCCTTGTAAAAGAAATTATAATGATACAAATTATAATAAATTTATAAAATATATTTTTCCCTGACAGGCATTTCATTGTAGATAAAGGCTTTTCTTAATATTAGGTTCAGACAACCTGTAATTCCAATGTGGGCATTCCAATGCAGGCCACGTAAGAACAAGTTCCCATGAACATGAACATAAAGGATACCACTAAGGATTTTAAAACACAAGCAGGGAATTCTTGTTGAATTCAGACCAGATTTTGTAAAAAAATGCGCAACCACGAAAGTAGAACCAACCTTTACCCCTGAATATATATACACCAAAAACTCCAAACACATGCCGGTACACTGCAAAAATTTCAAGGCCACGCCTAGGATCTTCGGCGTATTAAATCTATACTGATTGCACCCTTACCTCTGTTATTAAGGCGCATGCATGAGGCCCTGCTAGGGGGGTACCCATGTCCCCTGTCTGAAATTCACCACCAGCCATGTCAGCATTTCTCAACATTCCTATGTCGTCTGTCGGAATTTCGTCTCAAATGAGTTGTGTTGGGAGATTTGACCTTGTTCGATTAAAACGAAGCTACACGTATAACACATCGTAATACCTTTGCTTATCAAAAAAAAACAAAAAAAAACGATACAGTGCTCTCAAGTTTCACGCATTGAGCATGAGGCTCATGCAAATGAGTTCAATCTTGCACTCTCAAGCTGAAACTATTATTACTCACGCATTGAAGGTTCCTTGCCATTTTAGTCAAGTACACATATCATTAAGTATCTCTTTGGATATAATTTACTCCTTGTACGCTTTGCACTTGCTTTGAACACTTTTCAGCGGTAGGAATTCTTATGCAGAGCCAGCATTTCTCCGGTCAGAGGGTTTAATGATTACTTTATGGTTACTTTTAAAGCATCACATTTCGACTCAGAATGAAGGAAAAGACTTCTTAGCTACTTCAGTTTTTCAAAATTTTCTAAGGGGCTGGGGGCACACTGGGGGGCATATTGGGGGCATGCTTTCTAAGGGCTTGGGCATGCTTTTGAGTGCTGAAGTTGGTAACCTCCTAGGGAATGTGGGGGCATGCTCCTCCCGGGAAATTTTGAAATTTAGACCGTTGGAATTGCTATTTTCAGCCTTTTTCCAGTCACTATTTGGACCTAAAGTACTATCGAACCTATGACTATTTTTATCATGTTTGTTTAACAACCATTCATTAACTCAAAATCTCAACGGCCTCAATCAGATAATCTCTCCTATCTATAATCTTCCTTTGAATTTTGCATAACCCTTACTTTCTGCTGAAGATGAGAAAACCTTGGCAGCTTTCCCCTGTCTCTCTTTTCCTTCCATATTGCCATTTGTTGATAATACAACTTCATATTCTCTTACTGGTGACCCACTGATAAAAATATGAAGCCGACTTTCAGAGCTCTCTTTCCTTTTTCCTCAAGCGTGTTTTTAGGCGTTTTAGGGCACAGCTCACTCAGCTGAGAGTGAGAAAAATACACAGCAATGACAGACTCGATTTATTCGACGTTGGACGTTTTAGCATATATAAGAAAGCCTGGGTTTCACGACCCTTCGACATGGCGTGTGAGAGAGGAAAACACATTTAAAACTCTACAAATGCGTCTTCACTTCGACTCAGACGTTTAAAACAATCACTGCATTCTCAGCTCCGAAATTCATTGTCGGTCTATCTTGCCATTGGTGTCGCTTTCCCTATTTCGCTGGAGCAGTCTGTCGTTCGTCGCCAATTCGTAGCTCTCATGTCGCCGTTTCAAGGCCATGTCGCTTGTCGGAATTTACCCCTAACAAGGTCTCATGCATGTGCATACTTAAAACATAACTAACTGGTGGAATATTTCACAATATGCCAAAGGAAACCACTGTATTTACAGCATAGAATTCCTCTCAACGTGTTCACGCTTACAAGTTCAATAGCTTCGAATAGCTAAACACATCCGGCATGGATTGATTCTGGGTAGTACCCCGGGAAGTAAGCCTACAACCAGATATACAACACACAGTACACTGACACACACACGCTAGCTTAATTTGCTCGAGGAGAAGAAAATAACTGACCCTGTCAAAATCATTCTCATAAACTCTCTTACCTTTATAAACCAGCGACAACGACTACCACAAATCGCACGCAGGCCGCCATTACAGTGATTGCACTAGAGCTCGGTGTCTCGACTCCCAGAAATATTTCAGTTGGCAGAGGACTGGGACTAAGAGTGGCCAGTAGGTTTTTTGATCACAAGGCTGCTCATAGTGACCGGTAGCCTGCAGGCTAAGAGACCATACGGTAAAAGAAAAGGCTGAAAGGTTGAATCGACAACTGACCTCCATAGTTAACTATTATTTCCCGCAGTAGAAGAGGCTAGTGCAGTGGTGGGTATTTGTCTAGCTGCGAAGCGGGTTAATTTTTTCTGTAAGTACCACCCCGGGATACCATCCGGGTATATACGAAACCAGTATGATAAAATACCTGCAAAAAATTGACCACAAAAAGTCTTTCACAAGTAAAATCGCGCAAGAAATGTGCAACAGTGCGAGAAAAGTCATCTTATTCATAAGGTGATCAACAAGAGAAATCAACACGTAAACTAAACGTGTTCCATGTGTATAGTAAATTGACTGAAAACACAGTGGAAAAAGTGGTTGATTCGTTGATCTATCGAAAAGATTAGTTCAGTTCAGTTTGCGGAACTTCTGATGAAAATTGCTGTCCGGAGGTGGTAAACTCAAATCTTATGCGTCGCGTTTTGTCTCTCAAGAGTTCTATTACAGGGCCGATTTTGATTGGTTTAAAAAACAATGGAAGTGAGCGGAAGTAAGAAACGAGCGACTCGTTTTAAACATAGTTAGTTAGTAACTATGTTTTAAAGCTAAATTTGCGCAGTTAAACCGGAAGTCCAATATTTTCGAACTCCCAAACAGAGCTTTCCAAAGTCGTTCAATTCTCGACGAACGAAGACTCTGGGAACGAGGCTGCCGTGAAAAATTGAAGCGTTGGTGGAAAATATATACATATATATCGCCGCATGTGTGCGGAAGAGTGTTAAGTGTCGCTGGACTTGGCATTTGAGCTAACTGGGGACACGTATTTAAACAAATAAATATTTCAAATAAACTGCTTTCTTTTTTTTCTCATGACCTGGTAAAATAGCAGAACGAAAGCTCTTCATTTCTCTCGGTTTAGACAGATAGCACACTGACACAAAGTCGTATATGGCGAAACTGCCATCGGGTCTGCGTGACTTCAGACTGGTCTGACGGTGGAAAGCGTTACTGTGATCAACAGGAAGCTCGTTCACTCAGGTCACGCACTCCCTCACTTCTGTCTAAAACGAAATGGTCACAACCCTGAGGCAAAATAAACTTGGATAACCCAGGGGAAACGTCTACCACCGGAGATTACCCCACAAAATGTGAAACAGTTATCAATGCACACAAGTCACGGCATAACATATCGACAAAATGTAATTTAGCGTTACGCACAACATATTGACAAACAAGAATTTAGATTCCCTGGACTTTTATTTTCGAGTATCAATTCACTTTAGGTTACAAAACATATAACATATATTTGTTTCGATTTAGAAAGAAATAGATTAATCCGAGTCAACAGCAGCCAAATTTTAGTGAATGAAACAAGGAACAGGGTGAACTTGTGACATGGGGTGCGCTGAGACTGCCGGGACGAGTAATTAACGCACAAACTCCGCCAAAAAGGACAATTTTAGGCCAATTAAGGAGAGAATATTTCATTGCATTGTCTTGTTTGAACAGGACAATGAAACGAAGAGAGCAACGAAAACCGCACGCGTCGCTCGTACTGAGGGGCTAACAGAGCAGGGGGAAGTAAAGCCCTTAAAAGTCTTCATATGACACAAGGTGTCCCGCCTGTTCCTTATCGGTGGGGAAATTCCATACATTTAAAATTGGTTCGCGGGAGCTTTGCGCGCATCTTGTATGTTCATTTACAGTATTTCAAAAATCTTCTTCAGTTCAATCATGAGCTGCCAGTCAGCCTTTTGTAAATCATCTCTGAAGTAATTCTTTACAGCGTCAATGGATTCTCGGCTAATCTGTGAAATATCACGAAAAACGCAAAAATTGTTATTAGAAACGCATTACAAAGAAGTAAAGAGACAGGCGCGGAAGACCCAAGGTAAGTGCGCTCGTTTCTGGATCGAGCAGTCCGATTTCGAGCCCTGGCCGGGGACAATGTGTTGTGTTCTTGGGCAAGACACTTTATTCTCACAGTGCCTCTCTCCACCCTGGCGAATAAATGAGTACCGGCGCACTTAATGCTGGGGGTAACCCTGTGATGGACTAGAATCCCATCCAGGGGGGAGTAGAAATACTCCTAGTCGCTTCATGCTTCAAAAACAGGGATAAGATCAGGCCTGATGGGCCACTTGGCTCGTATGCAGACTTAACCATTACCTTACGCAAAAAGTAAAAGTGAAAGTGAAGATGATAAATAAGAGATGAGCCAGGAGAGGGATATTTGTACCCCACAGAAGTCCCAACATGTGCAATCTGTAGGTTGGCGAAATCAACATATTTCTGTTCACTGATTTCTTGTCGCGTAATATCAATCCCGGTACAGCTATTTCTCCAGGAAGGAATTTTTCGGTTTAAACAGGCTGGCAAGTCTCTCAAGGACATAAAAACGAGCACACGGAAAGAGGCGTTTGTTTCACAAGGCTATACTTTCTGTAAACGTCCAAAATTCAAACTAAACCACGCCCTGTATGTCAACATTTCTTGTATTCTCACCTTGCTCATCAAAAGGTCTGTGTGATCAAAATGCCGGCCGTACATTTTCGGCGCCTCTCCAGGCGGGGACTCGATCTTCACGCACACCTCCATGCCTTTACGAGCCTCAGTGAGCGGCTTGTGGTTGGCTTCGATGCCAGTAACAACCCCGACATCTAAAAACTACAAAACAAAGTCATTTTCAATTAACCCATAGCTCCGCAAGAACTCTGGGTTGGCTATCCCTCACGGAGAATCTTGCTGGGCCCATCCCCCACCTCCTCTCTCAGGGAGGGAGGGGATGGAAGGTCTCCGAAGTTATGCAGCAAATTAAAATGATTGTTCAAAACCTGTTTTGTTTTTAAGTTTCTCCTTTCCAGTTTTCATTTCCTTTGATACTTGTGTTCTTGATAAAAAACGACTTTGTCGTGCAATAGAACGGTGATAATTCAGTGACGTTGGAAAGTAGCGGAGCGTTAGCTTTTGTTTTAGAATTTTATTTCCAGCGTAATGCCATAATAACCCAAAGAATTAATGTATCTTACTATAATCAATGAAAGTCCAGATTTTCCCTTTTGAGCCAATCTGGCTGAAATGCAACTTTTCCCGTGCTTTTCCATTATTGTAACGCGCTTGCATCAGTTTAATATTTTCCCGTGCCTGCTCCTGGTTACTTTTTCCCGCGCTACCACCAGTTACAACTTGCTGGTTAAGAGTTTTCATCTGGTTTACTGACCCATTGATTGCTTCCTGCGAAAGGTACTAGGAAACGTCTCAAGTCTAAGTAACACAAACGAGTAGAAGTTACTTCATACTATACTCCGTACTGTGCTACTGACCTCCTTGCTCGGAACTGTCACAGGGGTTCCCTCCTTCACTACACCAGCCTCCACAATCACACCAACCACAATCGGGCCACGGGAGTTGAAGATGTGTTGAGGCAGAATTCGTAGCTTGCACGGAAACACTGCAATGTGCTTAAATTCTTCCCGCTTCTTTTGTTTAAGTTCCTGGTGGAGCGAATTGAATACCATTCAAAATTGTTCGAAAGAGTAGTTCCACTGCACTTTGTTTAAATATCGAAAAGTGTCGCCACAATAATTTACCAATAAAGAATCAGTGTTTTAGCTACTGAATGTAAAAGGTCACGGTATCGCTTGCGTGACTTTTCCTGTGTTTGTTTTGGCTACGAGACTCCTTTTATATAGAGTTATATAGTTATATAGTTTATATAGTTTTATAGAGAGTCGGGACACTTCTTCATTTTGTTAGTAACACTCCACTGACCTCTCTATAAGCTGTAAATTTGTCGAACAAGTGATAGATGATGTCGGCGGCAAATATTTTCACGCCCAGACTGTCAGCCATTTCTTGTGCCTCTCTCTCTATCCGCACGTCAAAGGCCAGGATAACCGCGAACCTAAGTAACGCAATGAAGATACTTAGCAAACTATATGACGAGAAGCATATATGGCGTTTCTTCGGACAACATATACTCTTTTATTTCCTTTCATTGTTTGCCAATATTTCAATTTTAATTTTTTAAGACAATCTTATAACACTATTAATGAAAACTTTTAGGTAAAGTTAATACAGTGTCCCCAATTAGCACACAAGGGCTAAATATATTGACACTTAAATAAAGTGCTTACTTACTTATCTAAACATGGTACCAAATAGGCACGTAACGCGCGTTAAGAGTGTGCTAGATTCTTGAGTCACCGCAAACTCTCTTGAATAAAAGGACCAAGTTTCTCTTCTCAGGTAAAATGTCTCATGATTCTTTCGCCGAAAATCGTCACGCTTAATTGCTCCACAGGTTTTGCCGAGTTATTAACTTGCAGACCTTCCTTACCAGGAAAATTAATAAAGGTATAGATAAAAACACATTTTCAACAATGATTTGCAAATTCCTACACATTCCTTGCATCGCGTAGCTCCATTCATATCAAATGAGTTAAGACGGCCGCCATTTTGAATGTTATGACGTCATTATGTTGGTTAAAGCGAACTGACATCACTCGGCGAACTCAAAACTTGAGATTGGGAATGCCTTAGTTAATCATTTTTTGACCAAATTTTTGGTGTTCACAATGATTTCTAAAACATTAGCGGCGATTTGTTTCAATAACAGACCTTCCTTACATAATGGTATTCACTAAATGACCCACAAAGGGCCAAGAAAACGACTCACTGGCTGTCGTGTTCCAACATCGTGGAGCATTTCATGATGTCCTTCTTGTGAACTGGGCCGATGTTCACTCCAGAATACTATAAAATAAAAATGAAAAAAGGCCTGTAAAGTTGTGATTACTTTCAAGTCAGGACAAAATGCTTCACGCCCTCATGAAACTAGTACGATTCTACTGAAACAGCCATAGTGTTGCACGGTTGCTACTCACAGGAATTTTCGAAGTTCGCAGGAATTCAAGCAGGGCTTCCAGTGATCCCAGAGTAGAGGCCTGCACATACACACCACGGTCTGACAGCTTGATGGACTGAAGCGTGTCACGAAGCAAGTTCGACACTTCTTCCTGTTGGGAAGCAGAGTACAGAAAATTATGATCTACTGCAAAAAATAAGATACATAAACGCTGACTAAGTGGTCTTGTTAGTACTAGTAGAGTACAGGAAGTTATGATCTACTGTGAAAAAGATTTACAGCTAAAATGGTTACTTGGTAGTCTAACTAATACTACATCAACGCTTTGATTAGAGAAAAGTAATCGAAATTCTAGGCCAAAGTACTGTACAAATTTAGTTTCTCCTTTCTCAGAGAGACATAGGATGAAACGATTTAATAAAGAACGGCCTCAGTCACGTTTGATAATTATCACACTAACACGAGGGTATAAACTAAACCCGCCACTTCCTTCCAATAGCTGCACAGCTGCAAAAATATTTTTCACGTGCATTTTGGTTTGCCTCAGGCCAGTTGGGATTTCTAACAATGTCATATGCTATGTTCAATTTGAATTATTTGTTTCAGTCGTTTGTTCGGCCCCACCTGCCTTTGTGCTATAAACACTGCCGAGGGTAAATAAAGGTTATATTCGTTTGTTTGTCTTTTATTTACAAACCAGACATTCGCAAACGCGTTTTTCTTCACACGCACATTATCACAACTTGTAAACAGCTGTTAAAGGTGTTGTGACTCACCTTCCAGTAGTCAACCTCGTCTGGTTGCTGAGCAACAAACAGCGGTATACCAGCCAGGGCCTTTTCCAGGTCCTTAGCAGCAATTTTGACCCCCTGGGAAGCAAGAAGCTCTTTGTTGTTGATATACTGGTTCTTGACCCTTAGTTCCTTGAGAGGCTGAGGCGTAAGTAAGGCCCTAATCTGCGTTACAATAGGGCCCTCAATTCCGGCCACTACGACTGTGTCCCCTTCCTTCAGCTTACCATTGATCAAGATCACATCAATTGTAGTGCCAAGGCCGGGCAGTGACTTGACCTACAGAGAAACCAGAGTAAAGGGTTAGGTTGGGTGCGGTAAATAAGACGGATCAAGATATTAGGGTTCGGGCCACGGACGGGGTCACTGTATTCCGTGCAAGACACTCACATCCTTTAGTTTCTCTCTTGTACCGGCGAGTTGTTGGCACAGAATGAGGGGTGACTTGCAATGAACTAGCATAGTCATCTAG